TTTCCATGCTGTCTGGACCCACGCCTGACTTGCAGAATGCCATTCATCGCACTGCAAATTGCTCAACTGTTTTGATGATCCAAACCTCCTGCCTCGTACTCAGGCGTGTCGAAACCTTTTACGCCCCCTGAGCTAGAAGCAAGCTCCCAGGCATGGCTACCATAGATCTGACCTGATCTCGTGCTGTGCACCAAAAAACAGTGTCAAGGAAGAGAAGTTGCTGAAGACTGACACAAATTACATTGGGTACAATGCTCACACGCAACTAGACGACGAGTGGCCCGAAAGCATTTTTCATCACGTAGGAAGTCAGAGTGTGAGTTATCTGTTAAGTGTTCAGTGTGAAGTGTTTAAGTCGAGTGAGTTGAGGTAGTGTGTGGGTCGCTGTGTGTGTGTGTGTATCTATGTCCGTGTGTATATGAGTCTCTGTATGTGTGTGTGTCCGAGTAAGTTGAGGCAGTGCGTGGGTCTCTGTGTGTGATGCGTGTGTATGAGTCCCTGTCTGTGTGTGTGTGTGTCCATGTCTGCTGCTGGTGAAGGTCTTCACTGTAGATATAGTGAACGAAGTAGCGCGCAGGCCTCCCAAACCCCCCACCGCCGGCCAAGCGGTGACAGCCCAGCTCATCGTCGTGAGCATTTCACCTCATCGTCGTGAGCATTTGCGCACCGCGTCCTAGAGTTGTATTACAAAGTCGCCACTTCTCGTCTTCCAGCTCCCCAGATACTGAGTGCGCTAAGGTTGTACTACAGAGTCGCCAGTTCTCATCTGGCCGTCCCCAGATACTCCGCGTACTAAAGTTGTACTACCAAGTCACCAGTTCTCGTCTTCCAGCTCCCCAGATACTCCGCGTACTAAAGTTGTACTACAAAGTTGCCAGTTCTCATCTTCCAGCTCCCCAGATACTCCGCGTACTAAAATTGTACTAGCAAGTCGCCAGTTCTCATCTTCCAGCTCTCCAGATACTCTGCGTACTAAAGTTATACTACAAAGTCGCCAGTTCTCAGCTTCCAGCTCCACAGATTGCTCCG